ACACCAGCAATAGCGTCTTCGGTGCACTGTATGATGGCTCTGATCATGCATGGTTGCTTGAACTACCGACTCTGCTTATTTTGATAATAAATTTACACGATTTTGGAAACGTGGATCCGTAGTAAGTCTCCTCTTTATGAAATGGCAAATCAAATCCAGCATAAGTCAAGCAACAGCTGTAAAAAATACCAACTTCGAAAAAAATCATTGTCTCATTGAAAACCACATGTCTAAAAAAAACACCCTTTACTTATGTGCTTATAAATTGTAAGTCATAAATTTAGGTGTCAAGCGACCCCATATAATAGTTCAACAACTAATTATACTTTATATATTTACAAATATACGTATTACTTGGACAAATTCAAAAAAAAGTGTGTGTAAACAAGCAAGCTATGTGCGAAGAGCGGGAGAGAGGCTCCATCGTTATTATAAATACACTACAATTATGCATAACTACATAAATATATGTACGTATGTATATATGTATGTATGAATTAGCATATATTAACTGCAAGTTAGTACGAGTATTTAATTATTCGCTTTTTTGTACTTTTGCAAAACACTTAGTAAAATGGCGAGTATGAAAGCAAATAAGGAATCGCGAGCGACCTTTGTCCACCTGCCAGCCAATGGTGCGGCTTTTAAAATATTAACAAACATTGAATACCTAACAAGTTTTTTACGGTGTGTGCGTGTAACGAAGTGCAGCGCAAAGAGTGCAGATATTCAATTATATGGCGCCATATTCTGCATTAGATGGAACTATTAGTGTTGAGCCGCTAATTGTGGGAGCTTCTTGTGTGTTTTGCAGTGTTTTGAAAGTCGAGCTGTTCTGCCTTGTTAATGGGGTGATTTAAAAATACTAATTCTTTCATTTTCAATTAGTTGTTATTTAGACTGCAAGCTGAGTTGTTTTTCCAGTTGAAAAAAAGAATTTATAAATATTTTTGATTTCCAAAAAAAAAAAACATAAAAATATACAATAAAGCTACGACATATAGCGTGAGTGTTCGCAAATAAATTTAAAAAAAAAATTAAAACAATGAAATTTTAGTGTGATAATTATGCTCTCAAAGTGAGAATCAATACTAAATAAAATCAATCTGCAACAAATGCAGAAAAAAAAATAATTTCAATACATAAATATACATACTTTCACACGCATATGTATATATGTACGGACCTTTATGCATATAAAATCAGAATATCCTTCATTCACTACTTTCTTTTACAGAAATACACATGCAAATAAACTTAACTAAAATTAGCAGCGCATAATTTCCAAATTCATAGCATATTTATAGGCGTCTGTTGAAAAGTGCATGTCAAACCATTTAATATCAGTAAACTAAACAAGCTGCGTTTATTTTGCACAGAAATTTCATGAAAAATATTTAAATATATGTACGTACGTATGTTAGTGCGTTTAAACAAATAAATACGGGTTACGGGATAAGCGTTTCGTAAAGTTTGATATTGACATGATGTTATATACATATAATCAGAACATTTTGACTTACAAGGGCTATTTGTGTTGTTAACAGTAAATAAAAATGGAATTAAATCGCGAGCCCTTTAACGCAATTATATTTTACAACTTCTGGCGTGGATTAACTCAGCAACAGTGTATCTGTGGACTTAATTCAATTCAAGCTTCGGCAAGGAAGGGTGTTTATCGTCGTTTGGTCTTAGATCACGCTAGAATGAATTTTCTAAAATCAGTTATTTTTCCGGAAACCATATTTCAAGATCGTATGATAGATATCCTGAGATGGAGACAACTATAGGCATTATTGGGTTCTGTATACATTCAATATTGCATGAACAAATATTGTAAATGTGTTCACGTTAAATAACGTGTTTTCTAATAGGAGTTGTTATTTTGATATTCAAATTTGATTGATTGATTGCGTTGCTTGTGTGACACGTAGAGCCGTTTTGTTGAAAGTTAAGTTTTTCTAGATCAATACAATCCAATTCCGGCCATCAAAAATCTTAAATGTCTCTGGGTTTTTCTGAATATTCCGAGCCCCAGATGCGACAGTTTTGTTTGTTGTTGTAGCCAGCGAAGTGAAAATGCATCTCATCAGTCGATATGATTTTTCTATAAAATTTTTATAGTGAATTTTAATATTTTCAAAACGTTGTTGAAGCGTGTATCGGTCCATTTTCATTACTGGCGTAGTTTTTACTTGTCAAATGTCAAAAAATGACAGCTTCAAAATTACACTGGAATAGCAGGCTAACAACCAGGAAAACCGTTTATATGTACGTTACTTTGAAAAACTTTTTTTTAGGCGAAAGAAATGGTCTAAGGATGAGAAACGAAACAAATCGCAGACTTGATTGTAGTATCCAATACAAATATTTTTAAACCCCTACACGATCATGGTTGTCATCATTGAGATCAGCAGAAGACATTAACCTAGAATGCTTAATCCTCCGCAAAAACACAACAGTGCGTAGAGTGAAAAACTGGTCATGCCGCAACCATGTCGCTAGAACAACGTAGAACAGTAAGTTCTGAGTGTTACACAACCATTGGTTTGTCATTTTTCTGACAAAGACGGATCACTCTTCACCACGACAATGGTAGCTCGCACACATCGACTGAAACAACTGCATTTTTGAGCACTCAAAGCAACGATAGTCATTCACCTTAAAGATCTGACTTATCATGTCATTGGTGCCAAGTTCCAAGTTTTTCGACACCTTATTGGCGGTTGATGCGTTCACAACGCATGTTTTGCAGATACCTCAATCAAAGTGGTAAAAGTGCTTCGACAATCGGGCTTTGTTCTCTAATCCCGAAATTTAAAAGGCAACCGTTGTATTTATATATATTAAATAAAATTTTCACAATAATTGTTGGACCTTGTTGAGGTCCACTTAATATTTTCGTATATTTTTCACTCAGAAATCTTTATATTCTGTCTAATCTAACTCTCTTTGCTAATTATTAATTTTTAAAATATGTATACGAGGTGTGTTCAAAATATATCGCGAATTTTGTGTTTTTTCAAATATTATTTACTTATTCATGAATATCTATTTTGTCCCCTTCAAAGTAATCCCCATGAAATATTATACACTTGTGCCAACGGGATTTTCCAATCTTCGAAGCACTTCAAAAAATCATTTTTTTTTTTTTCTTGTTCAGCTCCTCCTTCGATGCCGCCTTTATCCCGTCAATCGTAGCGTAACGTCGTCCTTTCAAGGGCCTCTTCAGTTTAGGGAACAAGAAAAAGTCACAGGGGGCGAGATCTGGGGAATACGGTGGCTGCGGCATCATTAGAGTGTTATTTTTGGCCAAAAAGTCGCGCATAAGCGATGTGTGAGCAGGGGCGTTATTGTAGGGCAAAAGCCAATTTTTGTTCTTCCACAAATCCGGGCGTTTCTGGAGGATTGCTTCGCGCAAATTGCGCATAACTTGCAGGTAAAATTCCTTATTGACCGTTCTACCCTGTGGCAAGAACTCATGATGCACCACGCCCTTGCAGTTAATTTTTCCAGCTGTTGTTTAAGTGCTCGGTCGTCCGGCACGCTTTTCGTCGTTCACACCTTCTTGGCCTTCTGAGAATATTTTGTACCACCGATAAACGTTGCTTCGGTCCAAGGTAGCTTCTCCGTATGCCACAGTCAACATTCGGAATGCATCCGCGCACTTAATTTCGTTTTTCACAAAAAATTTGGTACAGATTCTTTGATCCATTTTTTTGAATAGGTAAAAATCGAAGACCATCCAAAACACGTGCAAGCAAACCAGCTGTCAACAATTAAGTGAACATTCAAAATGGCCGAGCTTGTTGGCATAAGTGACAGACATGAGTACCAACATAACGCCACAAAAAAATCGAAATTCGATTACTCGTAACCCGCGAAAATTCAAAATACGCGATACTTTTTGAACACACCTCATATATGTATGTAAATATTTAATATTTTATTTCAAAATCAGGTAATGCATCAAAATGTTATTATAGGTACTTACGCACATACATAAATAATTTTTCTTTACTGTGTTTATGAATTTCTAAAGTGGCGATAAAATTTCAGTTTTTATAAATATTCATAAGAAAAATGCAAATAAATTCTTTTTTATGATGATTCACACGTGTTGTTATTTATACGAAATGTTTAAAAACAGCAAAAGGGTAAAAGTTAAAAATTCCATAAATTAGTGTAGAACATTTTCTGAATTATTATTATCAAACGTGGCTAAGTTTAACATGTGGCTTTCAATTTTTTTTCTTTTTTTCTCAAATGTGCACTGAGCCTTATTTAATGCATATTGATAGTTATTTGTTCCTTCAACGAGTAAGAGATTATTAGTAGCAGAAAAGATTGTTTGAAATGCTAAAAAAAATTATATTTTAAAAATTTGCAAATTTTCTAAAAATAATTTCTTAATAAATATCCAATATATGTTGAATTTATTTATTTATAAGGTGTGTAAATAAATTCGTGTCTTCCTTTTGTGCTCCAAAAAGTTTTTTTATTAAAAAGAGTTAAAAAAAATACATTATTCAAAATATTGTCCTTCGGAAGTGACTACTTTTCCCCTTCTCTCTGGTAGTTTTACAAATGTCATCACTAAAAAATGAGTATTCTCTATCATTTACTGAGACATTGAGCAAGGTCTGGAGAATACAACGGGTGATTTCACTATTAAAGCATCGAAATCACTCTCTCGTGACCTATCGGACGGTGCAGATTCACCATAAAGCTTCCCCAGTTTACGAGGCTCGTCATCAGAATGCTATATCAAATCTGAGGCTGTGTGTGGTTTTTCATTGGCATCGTTTATTGGCTACCCAATTAACCCAGACGGGCCACCCTTTCACATTGAACTAGCTTAGTTGGCCATACATACGTGTATAGTCATGCATGTATTTTTAATAAATAACTTATTGCGCATTAATAAATGATTAGCTTTTAATTTGCTTTAAAATTTTATTGGTTATTTATATTAGTTAATTAAATATTTTTATTTCCAGACATCATTTACAATAGTGCTTAATCAAAATAAAATATGAATACTACCGTGAATATAGAGACCTCGGAGAAGTTGTTTGTGCCATCTACAACGATACAAATACCTAATAACAATAATAACGGTATGCATACATATATGTTTTATTTATGCATTTTTCCAAAAAATATAATTGAAATTAATTTCTTATTACAGTATCAGTACATAATAAAATCAATATTAAGGACGATGGCGCGGCAATTATTGAAATCGGTAAGAATACTATATATGTATGTATATATGTTCAGTAGTTATAGAATTTTTTGCATGTGTAAAAAACATATTTTTTGAACTAAATTTTGAACAAATCGAACCTAAATAGGATTTTTTCAAATAGATCGGACCAAGGTCCGCTACCCAAAAAATGCTTTCTTATCTAAAACCTACGTCATACGCAGAACGTACGCTCCAAGTTTCGGGCATCTACGACCAGTGATTTGCGGGTGTTTTTTTTTTCAAATATGTGGGTTTCAAGAAGAAATAAAATGCTAAAAATTTAATGTGTTGCCAAGAATTTAGGTTTATTGCAAATATAAATGTTGTCATTATGTTTTAAAAGTGATTACGGGCAAGTGGTGCAATGACGCCCTCGACTCCAGCCGGAGTCCATACGTCAGCAATAACATGACGAATATTCTCTTCCAAGGCGTAGACAATCGACTTCACGTAATACCCGCGATGTCACATGCCCACGACACGAGATAATGTACTCACCACAAGGTTCCTTCAATTATTTGATTGTTTCAAGTGGGCTATGTGGCATATGTTGGATCGCAAGGTCGCCCACATCAACATCCTCTAGTTTTGACACGAGAAAGTCATTAATAATAGCTCTATAGCGTTTCCCATTGTCTATATGTACAGATGTGTGTGACCGACTTCATTTTTGAATTCCCTCTGCCCATAGCGCCTACCAAACAGTGACTTTTTGAGTATGTAATGGTGTCGGTCGTGATCACCGAGTGGTTAGCATTACGTACTGCCATTGGGAAGTCCTGGTACGACAAACATCCAAAATATTTTAATTTAAATAAAAATTTAAGTTAAATTTTATAATTGCGGTCGCCACTCTGCAGGAAATGCCAACGTTTCGGAGTTTATTTCTGACATGAAATTAAGGCTCCTCATGAAAACCCCTCAGCTGTTCGGAGGAGTATAAACTGTAGATCTCTCCATTTGTTCGAAAAACTTCAAGACACAAAACCGCAAAATTGAAGGAGGAGCTCGGCCGAAAATCGCTTCAGCGGTTACAAAGCGCCAATTATATATACATATATACTCGTATAAGATTGTTTAAACAATGTCTTGCGAATTATCATCCTTACAAATATAACAATTTTGTTTATTAACCTACCTATTCACCCAAAAATGAGCGCTACATCGCTGAGCCAAATTTTCTAGTGGAAATCAGGATCGGTGGCCATCTCGTTTTGGGCTCGTTCATGGAACATGCCACGCGATTGATGGTCGTTCGGCTTAAACTCTTGCACGTGTTCAATTTTGTAAGCCAACAAACTAAGAACCATCTTCAAAGTCTATCCATAAATTGTATGGACACAGTTCCAATTTGTAGCGCGAATGGACATATCGGAACTTCTTCAATACTCTGCTTCACAACAACAATCGCGTCTTCGGACATTAATTTCAATATTATTCAAAAAAGTCGTTAGAGAGCATTCATAGACCAGCTAGCTCCGCCAAGAATGGGGTGGAATTAATTTTAAAATTACCCTATAGCCGCGTCACGGGGAAGAGAAGGTGAGAACAATGTTAAATAGTTTTTTTTTTAATGAAATATAGACTATTTTATATTTTATATTTATTGCTGTATTAACGGCTTCTAAAAATTTTTTAAATTGAATGACATTTTTGAAAATTTTTAATTATACCAATAAATTATTATATTAAGATTATTCATTTGAAAAAAATATATTTTTAAATAAATGTGCTGTAAAAAATAAAAAGAAGTAAGGAAAAGAAACCACGTACCACCGCCGCAAGGAGGGAGAAGTTAAAAAGAAAGGCCACGTTAGGGTGTATTAAGAAGGAGGGAAGGGTCCCGGAAGACCTAAAATATGACCACGTGGCTTATGGACAATATCTTAGCTTCGTAGCTTGCAAATTATGCAAATCACTTATCAACTGATTAAATGCTTTATATACAGAACATGATATTTTATTTTTTAATTTATGGCAATGCACTTTGTTACTACCGTGAAAATTATACACAAGTTAACTACAATAATATATGTGGTAATCTAATCATGCATTAAAAATGCCAAATTTAATTTATCAACTAAAAAGTATGCCAGTTGTTGTATGGATTGTGAAAGGGTCTAGGAGGATTAGATTCATTGACACAACACCGGCCAAAGCTGCAATTTCTTTGATTAAGCTATTTGTTGTTGTTGTTTGTAAACGGTGAACGCCACTTTCAACATGGAAATACTCAGCTTTTCATTGACGCTGGGCGTCTGTTAAGCAAATTTTATATGAATCATTCTTAAGAAGCTACATGGATTTATTCGGCAGAAAAGGAGCTTTTTTTAAAACATTTTTTTATATAAAAAGTAACATATATATTCAAATTATTTACTGCTTTAAATATATGCATTTCAAAAAGAATTTCTTTAATTTTCGAATAAAAATATTCATAACTCCGTCATTGTGACGTCATTTCCGATGACTTCTTGGAAAAAACATATCTGTATTGACGGTAAAAGTTATGACAGGCTCATTCGAATTGAAAAACAATATAATTGTTTTTCCTATTAATACCATAAACTAGAATTTGAGAAATGAATAAAGATGCAAATTATGGTTAAATTCGGTAGTTGCGATTAAGGCAAATTTACACACGGTTGTAGCAAGCATACAAAAACGAAAATCCAGTGTATTGTACTTTGTTTGTGTAATCATAGTTTCGGAAAGTCAAAAACGAAAGCCGTTCAATATATTTTGTTTGTGTATACGAACGTTCGAAATATCAAAACCTATTTCTCATGTATTTTGGTTAGTAATTTTTTCGAAATAGAAGGAAGAACAAGCAAATATATGATGTGACAACTTCACCTTCTATTGTATAAATTCGCCTCGGGTGTGATTGTAAAAAACAATTCTTTGTCCAATTTCTCGTGAATTTCATAAATTTTAGTTTACAAGAACTTTTTACAACCGTCTTTTGAAAACGGTTATTCGAGAAAACAGACATTTGAAGTTTAAAACGCTGAGCTCACCACCCCAATGCTGTATTTCAGAAACTTTAATTTCCATAAACTTGACAACTAAGGATAATATTCTCGATATCTTTTAAAAATTAATATGAAAATAAGAGGAAAATCTTTGTTTCTGAAGCTGTGAGATCCATGTAACCCCTTAAGACATTCGTCTCGCGGTCAAGTTCAAAGTCATTAAAAGGAACAGTTGAGTCAATCTAGCCCCAAATAAGAATTTTAAGATCAATTGCCAGTACTTGTCTGACCGCAAGCCTAGTAACGATTTTTCGTATGAAAATAATATTTATTCAAGGTTTATCCATTTATGAAGCATTTAAATGGGTTCTATGCAAGTCTTTATAATTTTTACTTGTGTTAAATACGGTTATTCATTATTTAAATCAATATCTTAAAATAGAACTTTTCAATATTTTGCATACGATAATATAAAAGGTGCTTTTTTAGACGTGTGATTTTCAAATGGGCAATTTTTTTTTTCTGAGTTGACAGCTGTTACTCAGTTTGGTTTGTCATTTTATCAATTCGGAACAATTTTTGCAAATAGGGCAAGTTTAATACCAAATTAATGGTTTGGCTCGCTACGCGCATCGGTCGACATAATCGCCCAGTGGGTGTTTCGCATCTGTAGGACCATGCGACATTGCGCGTAAAAATTTGAGCTGTGCCTACCCAATTTATGTATGGATTTTGCAGAAGGATCATGCAAGAATTGAAGCCAAGCGACCATCAATCCATACACATATCATTTTCGGGGAATGGTCCCAAAAAGAAACGGCCAATCGATACCAATTTTCACAAAGAATATTTCAATGATGAAGCTCGCTTTTGTTTGATAATAATCCATAAGCTAATATTGCGACGCCGTTACATTATCCAAAAGTGTCCAACTGTGCAACGTGTACTCTATGGGCAAAGGGAGAGAGATTTTGGTGTGGCCTCTATGATCGTTCGATTTAACACGGTAGGGCTATATGAAGGCCTGGTAAACGCTTATCTTTGTAATAAAGCCAAATTATTGGGCAGAACATTAAATTATAAACGTTTTATTTCTTCTTGATAATCAAATGCATAAAAAACGCCCTTATGTACAGACATATGTATGTATGCAGATGTATTAATGTAGTCACAATTAATGACAGTAATTTTTAAGCCTTCGATGAGAACGATAGTTTTGTGGTAATAGCTAAAAGATAATCGGTTATTTAGAGATTTTTTTTCACTTTTTCTTTTGGTTTTGAAAGTAATCGGCCTATACTGACTCAAACAAGTTTTTCAGAGGCAACTCTCACTCTTAAAATCAAAATACAAAAAAAGAAGAATGGAATTGATAAGAATAAGTGCTCCCAGCACATTTGTTAAAAATACTTCTACCACAATTTAGGAAGACGAACTTACATTTATATCGAATTATTTAGAAAATAATAAGAGCTTAGCTTTGTTTCGGTTCCGTTATTTTTCATATTTATTTACAGATATACATTTTTGTATGGCTACTAAATTTCTAAATTTGTATGTGTTTGTAAACAATCAATTTTATTATGCATATAAAAGTCCGTAAAATTAACATCACAATAAAAACATAAATTATCGCCTTTACCAGTAACAATAAATATTTGTTAAAATAAATTATTGCTTACTAAATAAATATTCGCTCCAAAATATTTGTAAATGATTACTATTCATTTTAAAGATGGTTTAACACTCAATTCATAAACGGAACCCACTTATGGCGCGACAAAAATCCACCGCTTCGTGCATTTATAAACGAGATGTGAGGAATTTCAAGCAGAGCTTTTCATTAGTTAATTTTAAATTCACACATTCGGAAATCTAAACCACATGGCAGCACCATGTGAGCTCAGCTGATTGTGCATTTAGCGAGTGACAGAGCTGCTTTTCCAATTGGACTAGTTAGCATTTGTTTTTTTCGTCTTCGCGTGCGCGGTAGCTAAAGTAGTGTGAACGGTCGTACGAATTTACGCTTTGATTAAAAGGTTTCATCACCGTGTAGAATTGTTTTTTATTTTCATATTTCCAGTGTTTATCAACTCTTTGCGGTCTGTCAATTTCATTCCAGTACATAGTTTGAGTAGAAGGTTTTTATGTTTTTTTGTTTGATAGGAAGTAACTAACGATTTAAAAAACTAATAGAGGCAGTTTATGTGTGTTAAAAAAAGATTCAGTTTATAGTGGAAACACCTTTTACGTACATACATATTTATATGTTTGTATATAAAAAGAAAAACATTTGCATAAAAGTGAATACATTGATATGCAATAAATTATATTCTTAGCTTATGTCAATAACATTACATATATACATACACACGCATATATGTACTTTTGTGTGGACAAACGACAAAGAAAGTATTTTTTTTTTCTCCGTAACTGTGTTGCAGGAGATTAAACAATTTGTTTTTACTTGTGTATTTGCAGATAACGCAATCGTCGGCGATAACGAACAGTTCAACAAAATGGCAAATTTTGAAGATGTGAGTGCTTTTATTAAATGTTTCTTTGTTCAAATACTTATGTATATGCAATTGTGTTCCAATAAGAAAAGCATAAAATTTATAATGCATATTTTAATATAAATATTTTTTTTCCTTTATTTCATTTACATATACAAATCTGCTTTGTGAAAATGAAAAATTCCCCGCAATTACAAAAAAAAAAACGCTAACAAAAACAAAAAAACTGGAAATAAAAACATTGCAAACAGATCGTACAAAGATGCCGTACAGCATTCGCCAGTGGAAAGACAAAAGATGTGAATTTTAGGTGAGTCGTATGATGAAGTATACGAGTTTGCTTCAATAAGTAAAGTTGGGAGGAAAAACTCGTTAAGGTTTTGTAATAATTGCGACTTCTGTCTGCCTTTTTTTTTCCATGATCAACATTAAACTGAGCGGCATAAAAAGCTGCGTCACACCCAATTGGTATTGTTTGTTTATAATGCGTCCGAGATTTTATTGTTTCTCAAATGGAAAATGACAAATCATAAAGAAAATGTAATAATAATAAAAGTAATAGTTTAGTATGGCAGTTAAAACTGTTAACTAAAAGTAATGCTCTTTATAGTTGTTTATAAACTACATCTACGTGCATATGTATCATATTTATATAATATTATAGAAAAAGAAATATACAATTTTCAACTGTATTCTGATTGGAATTTTTTTTTAATTATTATATGAAAGTTCTAACTTTTAAACCCATACGTATGTAGTTTGCCGGAATAAGGAACCGGAAATCGTTTAACGCTTTTCTATCAACTTTTTATTAGCTGAACAAAAAAATTTTCATGGTTTCAACTCAGATATTTGAATCTCATTAGCAGTAAAAAATTAAAAACAATTGGAAAAGCTTTTTTGATTAGGCTACAAGCCGTAATGAAAACGATTTCCACGAAAGTTACAAAAAACCCGAGATATTTTTCAGGCTGTAATTCTTTTTATTTCAACAATTACTTTAGTTAATATTGATTGCATGCCTTTTTAGAAAAATTTTATTTTACTTCCGAATGCGTCTCAATGGGAGCGCCCGTTTAATGAGAGCAATGAAAAAATATTAATAATTTTCATTTAAGTGACAATTAAAAATTAATAAAAATTCCAATGCAGTTCAACAATATACATATAAATATATATATATGTATTTATATGTATATAATATAACTAAACACATTTATTTGCTAGATGGGTAAAACTGTCCTTGGTTTCCTAAAAATGTGCTTTTGAATACTTATACTTATGGTAATTAAGTTTCTTTTTCCCCCACTAGAGATAAATGTAAATTTAAAAAATTAATTTAGCTAATTTTTTCATTAATAATTTACCAACTCTCATACAATTTAATGACCAAAGAGCAACACTTGAACATTTAGTGTGAGAATATTGTAGTTGTACATACATATTTCTACCCATAATTTTAATAATAAATGAATAGTTTGTTTAAAGGGCGCTTATTTGATTGTAAACAATGCTGTCAAGTACATGTTGTGATTCTCATGAAGATTTATTTTCTTCTTTTTTTTTTAATTTTGCATATTCAAATCAAGGCTAAAGTTGAAATGTCATTACCAATTGACCTTGCGCCTTGCACTCACTCATTACTATCCAGATGAATGACTCTACCAAGACTAATATTTTATTTATTGTTTTTTTTTTTTTTTAATTGCTTTTATTAAAAGCTTTTTATTCTTACTGTTATGACTGGATTTATAACATTAACTGACATATATATATGATTGACACATGCACTATATATGTATGTATGTAAGTATGCATATTTTTTAATTGGCGAATATTTGTATACTATGTGTACATGTTTTAATAATACGCCATGTAAAATAGTTACACTGCCGCAATATGATAAATGAAAAAAAAAACAAAAAACAAAAAATAAACTGCAATTATTAAGTAAATGTGTGTACAAAGTCTGCAGTTTTGAGTGTTGCAGAATCGTTTATATGGATACATATTATACAATATATACATATCTATCAATGTATGTATGTAAGTGCCTATGTACATATATAATATAAGTAATTTAATTGCTTTCAAGTCGTTACAAAACTGGTATTTCAATATATTTAATTGCAACAATGTGTCTTGTTTTTAATAACACTAGTTTATGCAAGTACATATGTACATGCATGCATACGTTAACATACATATACATACATAAGTATAAGTGTGTGTATGAATGTAAATTGCAACATTAACCGGCATTCTGTAGATACCACATTTTTCTTGCAAACATTGGCCAATAGAAGCAAAAAATATATATACACATACACACTTGTATAGCCAGTTATGTGCCTATGTATGCTAGTTAGGCATGTAAATATGTGTATTACATTTCGTAATTTTGCATTAAACTTAAATTTACAATAATTGAAATTAATATTTTCTATTAACAATTATATGTAGTACTTGTCAGTATAAATAAAAATTTTTAATTACTTTTAATGACGGCTTATTTACATATATACATATTTATAAAACCAGTTAAGCTCCATATGAAACAAACATTATACCTACTTTTAAGTGCACTAGTGTATAAGCTGTAATCAATTTGCAGTTTCGTTATCTCTGGATACGTTGTACGACTTGTATGAAAAAAATTGAATTATTTTACTATAAAATAAAAAATTATTAAAAATAAAAACTTATTTTGAAAAAAAAAAAAAAATATTTTAAACTAAAAAAATTTAAATGTAAACTTTTTGTAACATAATTTTTGGTATAACAGTAAATAATAGTAATTTTACTCCAAAACGGAAAAAATTAATTATTAAAAATTTTAAATTTTTTTGTATTATACTACATATTTATTTTGTTTGATTTATTTTTGTAAGGATACATAATAACCGTAGAAAAATTATAATATAGAAGCTATGAAAGAATAATTATTAAAAATGCATTTTTTTGCAATGTTATTTCCGTTTATTATTTCTATTTTTCTAATGATATAACATTAACAGCAGTAAAAAAAAACACTACTAAAATGAATTTTTCCTTTTTTAATAGAAAAATAATAATTTCAATAAAAAAAATGAATTATTGAAATTTTTATTTCTATTTTTTTGTTGTATTTTCCGTTTTTTTTTTAATAATAACAGTAAAAAATAATAACTTAACTTTAAAAAATCTATTATTATTATTATGTATTTTTATTTTATTTTATTTTTTCGAAAAAGATATAACACTAATAACAGTGAACAAACATTAAGAAGAGCTGTGTTCGGTCATGCGAAAAACTTTACACTTTTTCATGATCATGATTTATGGTATATCATTTTAGGATTAATATACTCATATCTGAAATTAGTTAGTGTAGGTCATGTAGTGAAGTTCCCCGAATTCGATGATTTTTGGTGGAAAAGTGTATTTATATATGTAAATACATATATATTATTTATATGTGTAGAAAACAAAATCTCATGCTTACCTTAGCTGATTTTTTGACGAATTTTCGACCCGAAATCTTACAACAGAACAAATCGGTTGTATGGGAGCTATATGATGTAGTCTTTAGATTTCTGTAATTGTCGTTGAAAATATTTATTTCTATATATGTACGTATGTAGAATATCAATTTCACGCTTGTAAATGTGTTTCGTTGTATTTAATCTGATATCTGAAAAATCATACGTATGTATGTAATAGTGGTTCGATCTGGACCAGTGCAGCTGTTTAACAAGTTTGGTTGAAATATCTCAAAAAGAAGCAGCAGAGACGGACATGGCTAAATCAACTCAACTGGTCATTCTTATGGCTCTTCTTCTTATGGTATTTATGTGTACATATATGTTCTTCTGACCAAAGTTAATCCATAGATATGGGTGTATACCATTTCATGTACACGAAATGTTAAAAATAACAATTTAACTTTCAAATAAAAAAATTAATAGTTTAAATTAAATTTTTTTCACATTGGATTTTCCAACTTTGTCAAAAGAAATTACATTAATGATAGTAAAACTTTTTTTTTTTTGCTTTATCTTAAAATAAAAACTTTTTCACAAGAATTTAAAGTTAATAAACAAAGCATATATGTATGTTTTTACATACACAAGTGCACAAGTGTTTGCAGCGATGCTTCAATTCTAGTTTTTGTTTATAAATAATATTATATGTATATTTATATAATATAATATATAGTTTTTCACATAAATATGTACATATATTATATATATGAATAGAAAATTTATATTTATTTTTCTTTACTTGGATTTTTATGTACACATACATACGTACATAACTATTTGCGTTATTAAATTACTTTGTTGGCACATACATATAGATACATACATACACAGATATGTATCTATAAGACACCACACGTTTCAAAAAGCATAAAAAATGTGAAATCCGAAAAATCTACTAATTAAGTCAGTCAAACTCCACTGCTACGCCAAGCGGCAAAAAAAAAAACTTGAATAAAAAACACAAAAAAAAAAAGAAAAAAATTCGCACACTACTCTACATCTAACTAACGGAAGTATTATGATATTCGAAAAAGCTGCAAACTATTTTTTTTTGTTCTTGTCATTGATTGTCGCTGCTATTCTGCTGCTGCAGGCGCACGTTTGCTCAAGGTTTGCAATTAATGCTTCTTTTTTTTTTTGAAGATTTTCAGAAATGTTTGAGAAAAAAAATACTAAAGCCATGATTAAATGCAAGAACATTTGTATGTATGTACAGAACAATGTATATATATACATATATTTATTATTAGTAAATTACCACAAAGCTATGTATGAATGTATTTTATAAAAATATATAGTATTGTCTTTTTAACTATATATGTACATATATATGAGTATATTTAAAAAGGCAATTAATAATAATCGCATCATCGTTATAAATATTTATAGTAATGATTATGTTAATTATGCATCGTCATCATGTATTTCAGTTATAATTATGTCGGTTTGAAAGTATGTAGGGGTGGCGTCACGTAAATAGCATTATTCTAACGTTAATTTATATTGTACATATGTTAATACATATATGTATACACATCGCACTCATATATGTTTTTGTGATAAGAAAGTTTGGACTTTGCATATACCAATTCGTATAAATTGTTTACTGTTAACAAAACTAATGCATAGAGATAACGATAATCTTCAGGTGTCGCTATTTTAAATTGTAAATTCGCTGACAATCTTAAAAGTAGATGAAATTATACGGAAAATAGAAAATTTAGAAACTTTAACTAGAAAGAAGAGCTATCACCGGTCATGTCGAGGTCTCATACCTTTATATTAT